TTTATCTTACTACAGCTTCTCGACCCTCCAACTAGCGGCCCACGTTTTGGACACACGTGGGGCGTGGGCGAGGAAATCTGAACACACAATCCACTGTAAGACGTGGTCATTTAAACAGTTGAACTCAGCTTTATCTGCCCCATGTTTCTTAGGTTCAATACATTTTTATATAATAATTTTATGAACTTTCAATTAGCGTGAGGTGGTGCGGGTGTTATCGTCCTTAACGAGCTACTGACAGTGTTTTAAAGCAAATATATTCAGTGGCAGCATTGGTACTGTCGAATTCACAAATTATGAATTACTGAAAAGTAGAAAATATGTATGATACGCCGGGGGAGAGGAGGGAAAGGGATGAGCGGTCACACAATTACAAAAATTGTACTCTAATTTTGCAACGCAATTTTTCGATGCCCCCCCCTACGTCAGGTAGAGGAAGGGTTAACTTATAGGAAAAAAATTCAAACATGGAAGGAAGGTCAAAGGGTGTGGGGCGGGGGCGTACGGAAAAAGTTTTGAAAAAGAAATGTGGCACATAGTTGTGATCTTGTGTATATTTTTTGCCGTGGGCCTTTTCTCTATTTGCATTAACCTCCACATTGAGTATTGTTGACGTAATGCTTCAACGATTGTAAGAAAAAAAAAATGTTAACGCCAACCTATGTCATTATAATTATCTTAATTTTGTTTTTAATCGAAGAATAGTGTTGAAAATATATTCTCGAAAAGTCAATCATTTTACGTTTGGGTATGAATGGTGAATACCACACCAAAATTTTGTCTGCAGTTTTTTATCTTACTCGGAATCATTCTGCAAATCAAAGAATTCATCTTGTAATTCATCAGGAATGCTGGCAACATCAACGGAAGAACGGGAATGGGTAATGCGTAAATGCAGATTCTTCTTTTTTCAGCTCAGAGAAATAGCGATGCAGTTCATTTTCAAGAGATTCAAGATGCCCAGAAATCGCTTCTTTCAAAATTTTAATTATCTCACAATCAGATTCATCTACCACACCGCAGAGTTTCTCAAATTTACAATATTTCCTAGATTTATTTTCTTTACTGATTTTGCAGCTTTGATAAAAATGCCTATAACTCAAGTACAGACAAATTTTAAAAGCAACACTTTTTTTTCATTAGTATAATAAGTTTAATCAGATCATGTCTAAGTAAATATGAAATATATAACGAAGTGGTCATGTGCCTAATGTCTATATTACAGAAATGGTTCCAGCGTAAATCCTTTATAAACTTGATATTAATTATTTCTTTGTTTGTCACATTAATTACTCAAACATTGTGCATTTACTATGTCGTATTGTGATAATATCAGATCTATTCTAAATCCTTGTGTGTTTTACATATTGTGATCACCTTCCATTCTCTTTATAAAACACAGTCGATGGTTGCTAAATGCAAAACTTTAGATAAAAAAATTAATGACATTTGATGCGAACAAAATTTCAGATACTACAATATAGCAAAAGAAATAAAAGTACATTCTGTAATTATGGGCGTGTTATCAAAAAGCAAATCATTCAAACTGATTTATCCTTGTCCATTACAAAATAACGTTCGACGAAATGCTCTCCGTCGAACAGGCTGAGGTCGAACAGCCTGAGGTCGAACAGGCTCAGGTCGAACAGGTTGAGGTCGAACAGCCTGAGGTCGAACAGGTTGAGGTCGAAAGCAAGCCTAGACGTCTCATCAAACAACGTACTCGTGATGGTATGAACAAGAGGTGCATTTATATATATATATATATATATATATATATATATATATATATATATATATATATATATATATATATATATATATATATATATATATATATATATATATATATATGAAAATAGCTTTTATAATTGCAATTAATAATGATTTAAAGTTACACGTCAGATAAATGAGCTAATTAGATCTTTGACCCACAGTTTTGGTCATTATATGGTAAATTTCATTATTTAGCTATCCGCAACGGTCAATGCTAGTAAATATTCCGCGATCAAAGTCCCAATCACTAGAAAGTTAAAAACAATTTAATGAATAAAATCCCATGCAGCATGTTTGAACAAAAATGTATTATCTAACGCTTGGGAATACCTAACCAACGCTAGACAGTCACGTTCTGCTCACACTACACTTTGTTACTTCACTTTTGTATGAGCTGTGAGTAAATAAACGGGTAGGTAAGTATAAACTTTCGAGCTCGGTGTTGGCCCACGCACTTCAGCGCTGTCATTTTGCTGAATAAAAATAGGTTGATTATTAATAAAACACACTTCACTAAAGCAGACGTACTCCACATCATTACGAACGTTATAGCATGTATTTTGCTGTAGATGAAAACATATATTTGTAATTTCAAACATGTTATGGACTAGTTATGTTTTTAAATAAACCGGGAGTGATCTCCCGTAAACTTTCTTATATAACACTACGGGGATTGGCAACTCGGGATACAGACATGATTTTTTAATTACTTATACTTTTTAAAATAGAATAGAATTTCGTAGAAAAAAGAATTGCGCTCCAACTGAGTGCCAAAAAATGTGTATAATAGTGCGGAATATTATTAGTACTTTATAAATTCACATGCGTTTTTTGAGAAATCGGAAATAGTGTTACTTACTACTCCAGGTCAACGGAAATTAATAAAAATTTGAAAGAAGGCAGAAAAATAGATATTTTACTTATAAGTGAAATTTCGTTCATCTATACGATACAGTATTCAAGTTATAGGCTTTGAAAAATTGAAAGTAGAATCGGTAATAGCTCAAAAGTTGATATAGAACTACAAATTTGATATAATACTTGTATATGAAACTTCATCAACCTGGCTGTAACGGTACTGAAGTAGAGTATATACCACTCACAGTTATCAGAATTCTCTCAAAAGTTGATAGATAACTGCAGACTTGACGCAAAACTTATATTTGAAATGTGGTCAACATAACTGAAATGGTCCTCAAGTTATAGTTTTTAGAGGCATGCAAACACACACAAATACACATACACACACACGCACACACAAAAGGAAAGGACCAGTGGTTCATCATAGACCAGACATTAGTTTTACAAAGACCACAGAGGTCCATCATAGACCAGACGTTAGGTCCATCATAGACCAAAGGTCCATCATAGATCAAAGGTCCATCATAGATCAAAGGCCCATCATAGACCAGACGTTAGGTCCATCATAGACCAGTGGCCCATCATAGACCAGACGTTAGGACCGCCATAGACAACATTTAAATACAACAACACAAATCATACACAATCCCTCATATTAAACACAAGACCACTCCACGAACACTACCCATTAACTTACGTTCACTTTAGCAAGCTATGATCGATGCCCCAACACTGCCCATCAACTTACGTTTAGTCTAGCAAGCTATGATCGATGTCACCAACATTACCCTTCAACTTACGTTTAGTCTAGCAAGCGATGATCGATGTCACCAACACTACACACTTCAGCATAGATTTGACGTCTGAAAATATTCCAGACTTCTAGACTGAAGGAAAAGAATAAAGTGCGTACTATGTCTGTTTACTTGTTGTGTCATATAGTGTAGGTGAACATCTTCATTAAACATATATCTAGATCACACGTTCTCTAAATGGGCCGTAGAAGGAAGTTAATCAAGATTAAAATAAAATCAATTAAATCAATAGTTAAAACATATGGGTAAGTTTAGCGCATAAGTTTAGTGCATTATTACATAAATGCTTGTTGTTAAAACGTTTTTACAAGCTTTAATTTAATTTGCTTCCTCTGCCTGTCTGTCTATTGGTCGTGCTGCGGCCGTATGGACCGCAAATGGCGAGTAAATGTTCACTTCTAAATCTAAATGACCAATTTCTCTGAAACTTCGCACATGGGTCAAAACCCGATGATAATGCAATTGGATGCTTAATTAATTTTTAAAGAATCAATGGCAATTTCCTGTGTAGCCTACAGTACTATTTAACACGCTATTAAGCGCACATTTTTCATGTTCATTTAGAGCGCAATAGTTTTTAGTCATTCAACTCTACTGTATTAAAAATGTTAACCATTCACAAATGAATGTCTTGATTCTAAACCTAACCCAATCAGTGAAACAAAATATAAATTGAAAATTTTTATTTTGAGCTCATTAGCACTCTTTTTAGCACATTTTACTTGCTATGCGTAAACCAACTTCTTATGTTTCAATTATAAACCTGTTCTTGTAAACTAATTAACAACCTACTACAAATATAATCTCCAACTGTAATGACTGCATTACATAGGTTTTAGAAATATGTGTTTTTGTTTGTTTCCCCTGAACTAGATTTAATCCAGATAATTTAAATAGATAAATCAGTGGTGTAGTCCTACAAGACAAAACATCATTAACATCTGATCATTAATGCAATTAAAGCAAATGTACATATATTTACAACACGTTTATCTGCAGCTAAATATAATCTGTTACAACAATATTGCAAAAAAAAAGATGAAACACTACGTTTAAAAAAAGAAACTACATACATTTTGTTTTAAAATTACAAGAACACTGAGAAATATTGTTTTAATAGTAGTAACAGCACATTTCCATTTACAAAGTTTGCCATGAATTTTATTAGCACAAAACTTATTAAGGATTATTTTTTACATCCTGTTCTCCTATAAAACGTTGCTAAATTATGATTTACTTCTCGAATTTAAACAGTAGATTTATTCAATTAAACTACAGCGTTATTCCTAGGAATGACAAGTGACTTCACTCGAAACATTTTAGTGTTGACATTTTTAATTTAGGAAACAGGCGCAAAAATAGCTCTAGTAGTAATAAACTTTTAGTTTTGAGTTTCTAGCGAGATTTTGCAGTTACTTTTTGTCTTGTTTTGTAAGACAAGCCTTTGTCTTTTGTGAATTAGCCTTCGTGTCTTACCTTGTATGAACTTACATTTGAGTCTTGCATGAACTTGCCTTTATGTATTGAGTGAACTAGTCTTTAAAAGGGTTAGGCTAGTAATCGAGTTCTCAGCTTCTCCGTGACGTCATACTTGAGTCTCCTCCCCTCGTTCATGACGATGATGTTTTCCTCAGACACCGCCCCCATGATGTCACGTGGTAAACGATGACGTAACTGGCTGTCAACCATAATCACAATGAGATTAGGATTAGCGGGCGTCAGGTTGGATATGGCTGACCTGCATGTGTAGAGGAACCAATCGTCTTGCGAGAGAAAAGTTTCGTTCACGACCAGAAGCACGCGCCAACTTCTATTTATAGCATCGATAATCCCAGACGCGAGGTCAGTTGAAGGTGATAGGTCACGGTCACGAATAAAGGTCGTTAACCCCAGCGTGTCCTCGATAAACTTCCTGAGGTCATGACAAGCGAACTGGTAATCTCTATCAGCATAACCAATGAAGACACCAATCTCGTAGTTGGAAGGTTTCTTTAGAAAGGTTTCACTAAACAAATTCAGCAGTCCAGATATGATGTACGTCTTATACTTGGTAACAAAAAAACACAACACAAATCCAATGATAAGTAGACAAAACAGGATCACAGAAAGATACAGGAACAAAGTTCCCCAGCACTGACGCCAGTAAATTTGTAGATCTGAAAAAGCTGCCGTGTATGTTAAAACTCCGTCGTTATCAACACACGAATAATTCCTGAACATATCCATATTTACAACTGTCAGCTGTATCCACTGTAAGAATTGAATGTCATGGCATCCACAAGATAAAACATTTCCTTCTAAATAAAAGCTGAACTCCTTGTTTTCTTTAAAAATTTGGTCCAAATTATTTCTTATTTCGACAGGAAGTCTTGTCAGTTCATTAAATCTCATGTCCAAGACACTTAGCTTAGGTGTGTTCTTTAAAGTAAATGGAATTTTCCTGAACCTATTTCCTGCAAGAAAAAGCTCTTTGAGATTGACATTGTTGTAGAAAATTTCAGGGCTAAGAAACGCCAGTTGATTAAAAGACAGATCAAGCTGCTTTAAATATTGAAGATTCTGGAACAATCTTCCCCCAGACTCTGTCATAAACTGACCACTGAGCTGACAACTTGACAAGTCCAGTGTCTCTAAACTTGGCATCGTGTCGAAGAATGTTCTGTTGATGACAGTAAGTTTACTGCCTGATAGAATAAAAGCTTTAATATGTGTGAGTCCATGTAGGTGATGGGTAAACATTGACCCCCCGCCATCCGATACATCTAGATAAACGAGATTATCGGCGTAAACGAACGTGAAATTGTTCTCAATTTCATAATAGCTTATTAAATTGCCAAAGTTCAAACATCGAAGAGACTTGGAAATGTATATCTTACATCCGTTGCTTATATTAGACCTGAACATGTAGCTATTATCGTTTAGATTATAGTTAAAGTTGTAGTTTTGAGCAGGAATAGAGGTTCTGCACATATTGCCATAATCAGTTTTCAACAGAGAATTTTTAGCAGCCTGTGGTTTTGAGCTGTCATGAATGATTAACGTTTCCAAGTTACTCATCTTAAGCAAGTGTAAAACGACAATTGACGTTCCAAATATAGGGTTATTTGTAAGGTCCAGGCTCTCCAAGCACCGATCCCACGTTTTACTAGATAAAGCCTTGTCACGAATGATGTAAAGGTTACAGTGAGTTAAAGCGACATGAGCAACACATATCTGAGTCAAATATTTTGTGTGTTTACGGCTTAAGATACCGTCGCCTTGTAGAATATCCGAATATCTATTTTTGACGAAAAATCGAATATAATCTAAGACGATGGTATCCATGGTTAGGTCTACTAGCCCACTTAAACTTGCAAGAACTACTTTAAGCTGAACTCGAAGATTGCTGATATAAAGCTGATTTAAATTTTTCAGTGGTTGGAAAACACCAGTATCGATTACTTTTACCGTTCGAATTATGCTCAGATCAAGTTGTTTGAGATTTCCTAAATTTATAAAACTATCGTTTGGCAAGTTTCTTATATTTCCTCTCAGTGTTAATTCAGAAAATGTCTTTAAATTTCTGAAATCTTCACCGAAATTTATTGATTCACAATCAACGCTTACTTTCAACGACTTCAAGTTTAAAATGCTTGAGAACGCTTCAATGGGGTAGGGTGTAATTGGCAGTTCTACATCTTGTAGCATAGACAACTCAGTCAGACTTTCAAGGGAGGTAAATGTGTCGTTAGAAATGTGGTATATCTTTAAGGGATTGTAATCGAGATTTAGATATTCTAACTGCCCTAACCCAGAAAACATATGTGCTTGTAGATCTGTAATGCTGTTGTTTGACAAGCTGAGACGGCGAAGATGACGTAGGTGGTCAAAGGTCGCGGGTACAGAGGTCAACAGGTTGTTATCTAATAAAATGGACATCGTATTCTGGGGGAACCAGGTTGGTAAAACACCTGTCAACTGTAACGACCTACAGTCAACTGTAAGTCCTGTATTCTCCACCAATTGCACACATGGCAAGTGGCTGGGTACTTTAGGAGCTGAGTGACTCAAAGCGTCATGAGTTGGCTGACTCGTAGAGGCATCATTAGTATGAGATCTGCTTGTTGGTAATATGAAGCACATAACTCGGTTTGTTGAACACAGGAGTAAAACAATTAAGCACGAGTAATTAAGGGTGAGTGGTAGCAGGTTGTTAATCCTCATCTTCGTCTGTGACGGCTAGCGTAAATAATGATGTTAAAAACTTGAAACCTTAACATCTACTTTCTTGGAAGTTTGTTTTTTATTTCAGTTTTATACTTTTTAAAATTTGATTGGGTGTTTACCTGAAAATACATAATTGAAACAATGTATCTTTGTAGCGAAATGTAAAAATTGATTAACTACTTTACTGTTATTATTTTAATGGGTATAAAAGCACATAAAATAAATTTGAATTATCTTTATTCTGATTTTCTAAATGCCCATAAATATAAAAAAAATATTTTTGCTAGAACAGAAATCGTTTGAATTGATTTAGTCATCAATTTTTTTAAAAGATGTCAAAATCTTTACAAGGTAGAAGCTTATTACGAAAACAGTTTTATTTTTTTTTTTTTACAAATTTACAAAGTGGAGAATTATACTTGCATTACTGCAATCATCCTTAAGAAACGTATAATGCAAATGGTTGTAAGCAGGACATTACATTACCCACCTCCATCATTCTTTCCTTCCCCCCCCCCACACACACACACGGAAAATTATTCATTAAGAGATAGAAATACGATAGAATAAGCATAAAGATTAGTAGGAGTTAGGGTTCAGGGTTAGGGTTAGGGTTAGGGTTCAGGCTCAGGGTTATGGTTAGGGTTAGGGTTCAGGGTTCAGGGTTCAGGGTTCAGGGGTTAGGGTTAGGGTTAGGGTTAGGGTTATTGTTAGGGTTAGGGTTAGGGTTCAGGGTTGGGTTAGGGTTAGGGTTAGGGTTAGGGTTAGGGTTAGGGTTAGGGTTAGGGTTAGGGATAGGGTTAGGGTTCTCGGTTTTCGGTTAGGTTTAAACTTAAGAACCTTCCCTAAGAAAATAGAAATTTTGAAATCGATGTTTGTGTAGTTAGTTTTATATTCAAGTTTTAAAATTGATTTTAGTGTCATTCTTGATCTGTAGAGGGAAATAATTACTTTGGTTGGTAATGACAGGGAGGTAATTGCTCTGGAATGTAACGACGTTGTTGAGTGGGGGGGGGGGGGGGCTGGGAAAAGTCCGGCGTTAATTGGTTAATTGACTATATTGAGTATCATTCTGGAATTAAATGGTTAGTTAATTTGGATACAACGAAGTCTGAAATCATTGTGAGTATTCAAATAAATGCTTAAAAAAACCCACAAAACATACCAAATTGAAGAATGCTAAGTTTGATCTGTTGTCGGCTAGACTTACTAAGAACACAGAAGCCTTAGAGCCACATCTAATAGTGGCCACTGACGGAAGTTTAAAGAAGCCGACGCTGTCTATCTACAATGTTGCAAAGTGGGTTGCCACGCTCTGCTAGCCCTTCATTCAAAAACCGTAAAGATAATAATAGATTTAAAACTACGGATGACTGTCTCAACTTACAAGCAGACATTTATACATTATTTTAAATACCCCAGGATATCAAGGAAGTGAGATATCCCATGCATTTTAAACTGTCATAGATGTAGATTCAATATTTCCCTGACAGACAAGTAAATTAGTGTCTGTTAAAATTATGTCCTTGGAATTAGCTTTTAAAACTCTGAGCTGGGAGAAACGATTAACGGACAAATTATTTAAAAACCTGGGCATTTGTATATAAACTTTTTACTTCCATGGTAAATAATTTCAGAATCGGCCTACTTAGAAGATTTTAAGTAGGTTTTTCGATTGTATGTTAAAAGATGAATGTTATTCATAGTCCGGTGTCCTAAATATCAGCAGTGTCAAGGTCAAGCAAAATAAAAACAAATTTAAGAGTTAAAGTTTATAACAACGCTAGCGAACACGTAGTCCACATAATCTAGAATCCGCCAATATAAATTAGCTCCCCCTCCCCCCCCCCCCCCAACCATCAAAGCTTTAGTAAAATAACAGGGGCAGTTGGTTTAACAAACGCGAGATATTTTAGACATTAGATTCTGCAGCTTCATCAAGCCATATCGAGCATTAGATCCGGTTCCTTCAATATGTCGCCAGGAATGACATCATTCTATTACTATACGTACGGAAAACACAGTTGTCTTAAAATGCAACTTAAAACGAACACAAAATAACTTTTTAAAAAAATGCAAACACCATATCTAATTTCCACTCAAATTAACGGGGTTTCTTTCAGATGGAGGAGGGGGGGGGGGGGGGTTAAAACTTTGGGGAGGGTGAGAAAAGGGAGGCTCTTTAAATTTCTCCTAAAGGGGCGGGGGTGCACTTGAAACTTCCGAGGGCCGAGGGGTTGCAACATTAAAAGCAATTAGATGCTTAAAACAATATTTAAAACAAACGAAAAAAAAGTTTTAAAGAAATATTTCAATGTGTAGAGAACCGTTATGTTACTGATAGTGTACAACTATGCATAAAGGTAGGTATTGGCTTTATAAAATTACAAAAATATATTTTTTTTAAAATTAGAATATTAAATAATTTAAAAATAGTTGCCATAACAAGACTATTCCTGCAGCCTGTAGTACACGTAATACTGGAGCATAACGGCTGACGTACGTGACGGATCCAGCAAGTAGTCCAAACTTTGTTATTTACTCGTAGCATCTGATTTAGAGCATGACATAAATGAAAACAAAAAATCAACTTCAATGAAAATAACACTAGGGGAACTAACCAATAGAATTATAAAGTTAGGTTTTTACTGGGTTCCTCCCCCTTTAAAGATTGATTTATTGAAATGGCATCTATTGAGTACGGGACCACAAAATAGAAGTTTTAAAATTTCTAAGCTAATTAAAAATCAATAGGGATAATTAACACACCACACGTATCATACATTTATGATGAAAAAAACACTACATATATATTACAATTGTGATATATCCGTAGTCTATAATGTCAAAGTTATTGTGCCATTACGAGTGGCAAATTGAGAAAGGAATAAAAATTAATATCATGATATGAGCAAAAGTTGAAAAAATATACAATTTTAGTAATCATACAACCAGGAATCTAGTTAAAGTATGATAGAGATGGGGTGAATTATTCCCGGGTTATGTCCCTTTATGTGGACAGATTCAACATTTTAGTTGTATATCTGTGTTTCAAGTTTCAAGACGTGTTGTACAGTTGTACAAGCAAGACTGCTGCAAGGGGATCTGTGTGTCGGGACCTGGATCTGTGTGAATTCGTTTTTTAAGATAAGTGCCACCAGTTTCTAACTATTTAGAGTACATCTGTGGGGTGTTTTACCACATTGTTGTTTGGTTGAGCTATCATTTATATTATTGACGAGCCGACCCGCAGTGTATCATACGCCGCTATTTAGTTGTTTTATTTTCTACTTTTCAGTAATTCATAATTTGTAAATTCGACAGTACCAATGCTGCCACTGAAAATATTTGCTTTAAAACACTACCCCCCCCCCCCACTTTCCCCAAACCCCGACCCTACACCCCCCCCCCCCGTGAAAGCAGCCTCCTCTTAGTTATTTCTTAGTTACCTCCTGTAAGTTTAAAATCGAACTAAATTATCTGCCCCTAATAGAAACCCGGCTCTTCGATTTGTAAACATTTAGCTTTGTAAAGTGATAGTGATAGAGAGAAAGAGAGGGGACTGCAAGGAGGCGCTTGCAGCTTGTTTTCTAACTGATCCCAGAAGAGAATTATATATACGAGCCGACCCGCTGCGTATCATACGCCGCTATTTAGTTGTTTTTTTTCTACTTTTCAGTAATTTATAATTTGTGAATTCGACAGTACCAATGATGCCATTGAAAATATTTGCTTAAAAACACTACCCCCCCCCCCCCCCCACGTGAAAGCAGCCTCCTCTTAGTTACCTCCTCTAAGTTTAAAATCGTTTCAAACTAAATTATCTGCCCCTAATAGCCGTCACCAAACCC